TACACCCTCCTCATGTGTGAACCTTGCTATTAATACACACCTCCAATAAAGCCTTCTATTTCGTAACATACCTCCCCTGTTGATCCAGCACATCCACTGCGTGGCCTGTTGTAGGGGCACTGCTAGTTGAACATGGACTTGTTTTCACGCTGCCACCAGAAAGGGCATCATTACGCATAGGGCCAGTGAAGATGCCTTCTTCTGATCATTTTAGTTATTTTTGAGTCTCCCTGAAGGTGCAAGTTTGAATGGCGCTCTTTTTCTGTCCGAACGTTTTTTTACCTACACTATCGGCCAGTTTTACTACGTTTGTTTACATGCTTGCAACCAGCCCAACCTCCCATCCCTCGAATGTGGCCAGTAAGGCTGTGTCTTTGCTATTTCACAGGGTTCTACTTGCGGGTACGAAGTATTATTTATTTGGCGATCGCTGTGGGTTATTTTAAACGGTGACATCACACTCAACCCGATTCTATAACGCAACCATGCCACACATTTTAAAAGCAAAATCCACTGCCTACCCTTTTCTGTCTAAGTAGCGATTTTATTATAATTTCAGCTGCTCAAGGGTGTGGAGTATTTGCATGCACAATGGATCCTGCATCGCGATCTCAAGCCAAACAATCTCTTTCTTAGTTCTACCGGAGTCGTAAAAATCGGCGATTTTGGTTTAGCTCGACATTTTGCGGCCTCCCCAAGTCGGCCAATGACTCACCAGGTGGCCACGCGCTGGTACCGTGCACCTGAACTCTTCTACGGCTGTACGCAGTACGGTGTCGGCATCGACATGTGGGCGGTCGGTTGCATCATTGCGGAGTTTCTTCTACGTGTTCCCCTTTTCCCCGCAGACTGTGATCTTTCCCAACTGGCCAAGATATTCGAGGTTAGTTACCACACATAACACTGTCACCAGAAGATCTCTCACTTGCTTACAGGCCCGAGTGTCTTATCTGTAGTAGCCAGACCAGAATGCGTTCGGCAGTTGTCAAATTTCCATTCACTGAACTTTTTGCTGTTTCCTATCTCTTGGGGGACTTGTTGTACGATTCTCCAGACTTCCCCTAATTGTCTTTAGTTGTAAGGCGAGGATTCGCTTTGTATGCAAGTTAAATGTCGGATTTGGCGTTTTTTCATTGTGGTGCATAATGCAGTACTGATCCAGTTTCTTCTCAAAAGCTTCTCCGAGTGTAGTCCTAACATCCTCAGACAAAACACTTAACTTCAGACATTTCGTCGGAGGAAAACTTCCGTGCGTCCAGCGACCTCCTTCAATAGCTTCACAGGTACATAATCGGCACCTGGCTATTTTTCTTCATTTAATTATAGCAGCTCATTTGGGGCGTAGACATGACGCCTCGTCAGGGCTATCCTAAAGACAGTTGGCCTGTCAGCCTTCTCACGGTCAACTGTTGGGTGCGAAATAAATTGAGCGTCATGTTCAGAAGACGACTATCGAAGGTCACTTTTGATTTATGTGCGCAGACCGAGCTCCAGTCAATGTGGGACG